TAAATGGCAGAACCTCGAGCAGACGAGCTCTGAGGCCATAGGCTTGAAAGGGCTCAGGTGCCAAGCATTTTTCAAAACAATTGAGAAAAGAGCACGATAGTGTGGCATAAGAAGTAAAAGACATTTACAGGTAAAGAATAAAAAGCAAGTTGACAAGGTTGTTCGATAAAAGAAAAATACTTATATTACGACTAAACAAATATTGCAACAGTTGTGTCAAGTCCAAGTCTATTTCCAAGTACCAAAAAAAAAAGACCTAAGGGTCTAAGGTGGGGTCGAGGAGGTCCCTTTGGCTTGGGCCTCAACTTCATCAACTAGGTCGGCTTATTTCTTCGCGGCATCAAGGGTCGTTTCCCACCAGGTTTGGTCATCCCAGTCGAAAGCAAATCTCAAAACGAACCCCATCAGCTTCGATACAAATTTTTTATTGTTCTGAGGTCACTATACGTTGCTTCGATAAATGCTTTAGGGGTTGTTGGTCCGACAAAATCTTAAAACGACATCCCAAAAGATATGGTCTCCAAACTCGCACTATTTCTATAACGACTAGCATTTGTTTTACGTATACCGACAACCCCATGTGCATGTTGCCTAAAGCCTTACTCAAATATGTGAATGTCCGGTTCTCTTGCCAGAGGGCTGCTACAGTCATGATGTCGCTTGCCTCAGTGTGCACATCAAGCATCAAGTCAAATTTCGGCATGACTAGGATGGGAGTAGTGGTCATAGCCCACTTAAGTTTATCAAATTATTTATCACTCGCCGTTGTCCACTTAAACCCGTTCTTTTTTCATTTCCGTCAATGGCCTAGCTATCGAGCCATAATCCTTGACAAATTTTCAGCGGTAGCGCGTTAGCCCTAATAATTCTCGCAATTATGTCATACTCTTCAACGTCTGCCAGTTATTCATCGCCTCAATATTTCTTGGATCAAATTTCTCACCGTCGTAAGAAATAATGTGACCCAAATATTCCATCGACTTTTGGCCAAACGAACACTTAGACTTTTTAATATGAAAATCATTCTCAACCAAAATTCTAAACTAATCTCAAGCGCTCAAGATGCTCATTCCAGCTTTTTGAGTAGACAATATCATCAAAGAAGATCAAGACAAATTTGCGCAAGAACTCTTGAAGGATGGAATTCATGGAAAATTGAAAAGTCGAAGGAGTATACATAGATTGTACGTATCATATTTCGACTCTTCTTCTTTTTGCTCTTTCTAATTAGATTTCACGAACTCGATTTGAAACGACTGCACCTAGTACTCGACACAAATTTCTCGTCGCAATTTAAGCATAGACCCTTCCCCTTTGTTGCTGCATCTTGTCCCAAGATAACCGCTTAACCCCTGTGGGTGTCGCCCTCACGTTTATCGTCGGTATTCCGTCTCCAGCCTTGGTGAGTTAGCGAAAAATAGTGCCTGAGTGTCTACCTCCAGCCGATGGTCCTTGCACATGGCTGCTAGGTGGTGCTCTCATATGCGTGCAACCTCCATGGTTGCGCGCATCGTCTTCGGTCTCTCTGGCCTCATTTTAGCAGCCAAATCAGGCTTTAAGCCCCCAATAAACGCCCCTACTAAAGTTACTTTCGGTTAAATGCAAAGAAGACTCGCGATTTACTCGAACTTCTTCTGGTACTCAAGTAAACTACACACATGTTTGGTATGCGATAGAGCTTCATCGCAATCATGGTAATCTGATGACCAAAATCGCGTAATCAACTCATTTTCAAAAATTTCCCAAAAAATCCATGTGTCCTTTTTTCTTGTAAACCCTTGACAGCCACTACCACCATATGTTCGCCTCCCCATCAAGGTAGTAGGCGACGAATTTTACCCTTTACGCTTTCGGTACTTCGTTGATCTCGAAAAACTGATTGGCGTGACTCAACCACGGATCTGGGCCCGTCTCGTTAAACATTGACATAATCAATTTTGGCCTCTCGCTCCTGCTCATTTCCTGGTGATTCGAGCCCGTGAACGGTTATCCTCGTTCTCCGTGAACTCATTATAAAACTCGGCCTCCTTTTTTTGAATCGATTGATTCGCCCGGTGACCGATCCATGCCGTCGCCCCTCTGTGCTTGCTATCCGACAGTTTGGAGCAGCATTCGCTCGATCGTGGCCACCTTTTATTTGGTTGCTTGCACGTCATCGGGGATTGAACATTCACTCTTGCAAGCAATCAATCTTCTCCCTGTTATGATGATATACGATCG